AGAAGAAGGAGAAGAAGAAGAAGGAGAAGAAGAAGAAGAAGAAGAAGAAGAAGAAGAAGAAGAAGAAGAAGAAGAAGAAGAAGAAGAAGAAGAAGAAGAAGAAGAAGAAGAAGAAGAAGAAGAAGAAGAAGAAGAAGAAGAAGAAGAAGAAGAAGAAGAAGAAGAAGAAGAAGAAGAAGAAGAAGAAGAAGAAGAAGAAGAAGAAGAAGAAGAAGAAGAAGAAGAAGATGGAGAAGATCCCGTGCTTACCGAGGAGCTGTCCCAGGAAGACGGTGAGGATGAGATTTGCGAGGTGCATGCCGAGAGCAAGCTGCGTGTTTGCTGAGTGGGGAAGAGGCAGAAAGCGCGTCCCAGCGCCGGGAGAACAGAGCTGCCGGAAACGACTCTGGGCGGCAGCAAAGGAAGCAGCGGCGGGAGCAGGCAGAGCAATGAGCTGTCCTTGCAGTACCTGCAATGCTCCTTGTGCGTTTCTGGCTCCTCCAGCAGCAGCCCCCGAGGCTCCCTCAGCCATTGGCACTGTGAGCATTCCGAGCCCCTGGGGCCTGAGTGATGGGAAGGGGCTGATCCCGCTCAGCTCGCAGTGGAGTCCTCACCTCCGCAGCTGCAATGGCCAGCCCTGCTGCACACCCAGGCTGGGCATCTGGGAGCTCAGGGGCTTCATCCCCACTGAGGTTTCTCACCTTCCCGAGGCGTCCTCAGCTCTGTGGGGTCACTACTACTTTTCTAAGCCAGATGGCTTTTGGAGAACTCCAAGGCTGGAGACTGCACAGTCTCACAAGCATTCCTTTGTGGGTGCTCCCTAACTCCACAAGACCTTCTACAACCTCCCTTATCCTCTTGTTCCTCTCGTCACTTCTTGTCGCTGACACAGCTCAGCCTGAGCCAATTCACAGCAGTTTGCTAATGGCCCATCAATTAGAAGGTGGAGAGCTCTGAGCTCCCTCTTTCTGTCCCTTATCACCTCTTGTCGATTGGCATGAATTTGTGCTTTGTTCATCAATTTGCGTTTTCCTTGTTCTTCCCTTGGGAAAGGAAAATGGATGTGATGTGAGCCTTAGAGAACCAGACACCTTTCACTTTCCCTGACTGTGGCCTCTGATGAACTTTCTCAGCCCAAGGAATTCCTGAAGTTTTTGAAAGGCTCCTGTCCCCAAAGGAAATGGGGGCTCTAGAGCAAGAATCCGCGGAGAAACCTCATGTGGAGCTCAGTCTTTCACGTGTCTCCCTCTAACACTTGCAGCGTTGCTAAACCCTTGTGTTTGCTTTTCAGGATACGTGAGATTTTACTGATGTGAAGAGAAAGGGATCAGTGACTTCAGGGGGAAGGTGAGGGTGCCCGGTTGCTTTGCGCATTTGAAACGCGCGGAGCCCGGCGGGCGGAGCGGCAGCGCCCCCTGCTGGCCCCGGCCGGCCCCGCCCGCGGCGGTTCGTGCCCGGCCGCAGCCCCGGCTCCTCTGCCCGTGGCCCCCAGCGCGCAGTAATACACGGCCGCGTCCCCGCGCCGGGGCCGGCCGAGCCACAGCGCGCTCGAACGCCCGTCCTCCGACACCCTCAGCTGTCCTGCAATGGCCGGCACAGCCTTGGAGCCTCTGGCAGTGAAGGCGACGAATTCGGGTTCTCGCCCCGGGAGCTGACGGTAGAAATGGATGTATTCACCGAGCAGCTTTTTGGGGTGTGAGCAGGTGATGTTGATGCCGGTGCCCTCCGTGGTCTCCAGGAATGGCTCCTGCTGCACCTGGGCTCTTCCTGAAGTCACTGCCAGAGAATGAAAACGGAGAAACTTTAAATTCTGCACTGCCCCACTGCACATAATCAATCCCGCCGAAACAGTCAGGAATGTACAGAGATGATGAGAAAAAAAAATACTGAGTTGATTTCAAGATAAACAAGAATGGAAGTGTCCTTTACGTGTTTGTAGAGAGATGAAAGTGTGAATGACAGGAGGAATGTTGTAGTCACTTTAGAATGGAAGGATGTGGGAGAAAGCACAAAAAAACAAAACAAAACAAAACAAAACAAAACAAAACAAAACAAAACAAAACCAAAAAAAAAACACCCCCCAAAAACTAACAAAGGGTAAGTACTGACTTTGTAAGCAATTAAGAAGCAGAGGAAGGGAATGCTTGTGCAGGGATGGGCATAGAATGGAATTATATTTCTGCGGAACTATGGCATGCAGAAGAGGGAGCGATGAGCAGACAGCTCCCGGAAAGAGGTCTGAGAAGAAGCCAGGCAGGACAGCAGCCTCCGGGGACCTGCGGGATCACCCCAGCCCAGACCGCGACCCCTCGGCCGCCAGCCCCACGCACCGATGAGCAGCGCGGCCAGCGCCGCCAGCCCCGCGCCCCGACACCGCCGCATGCCGCCGCTCCGCCGGCCGAGCCTCGCTGTGCCCCTGAGCCCCGGCTCTGTGCTCTCACTGTGCCCCCTCCTTTTCTCTCCTCTCCTCTCTCTCCATCGCCCACAGCTCCGCCCCGGTCTGAACCCTGCGCTGGCGCCGCTCGGGCTCTCGCCCGGGCTCAGAGCACTCGGGCTCTGCACGGACACAGCTTGGTGTCCTGGCAAATGGACTCCCCCTCCTCCAGCAAGTACATTCCAGCGAAAATCAGGCGGAACAGCTCCAGCTGCAGCCTGAGGCAGCAACAGGGACCTGAACCAGGAGATGGAGCAGCTTCCCCGAGCTGTGTCTGTGCTCAGGGGCTGGAAACTGCAGCCAGGGGTTTTCTGCAGATGGCAGTGAGGAGGCTGAAAGCCCCATGTTCCAGCAGCTGTTCCTTGCCTATTTTCCTGTTGCAGAGAACTTCCAGAGTCTAGTCTGTATTCCCTGTTTCCTTTGCACAGGAGCTTCCAGGATTTTCTCGGAATAACTTGGGCAACAGAGGCCAGTTCACTGCCTGTTGTTGTTCCATGTCACCTCCAGTCTTGTGAACAGTGTCCTTCTTCCCACTATTCATGACATTCATGGCAACATGCAACACTAGTAGTCCTACTGCTGATCCCTGAGAGACCCCAGAGTTGTCTACCAGTTTGAAGCAATGGCCACAACTCTTTGAGCCTGGTAGGACAGAGAATTTTCCACTCACCTTATCACTCTCTTACTGTTCCCTTTTGTCACTAATATGGTCACAGAGGAAGGGTGGCAGAGGAGCCCACTGCAGCTGTGTCCCCCCCCAGTGCTGCATAAAGGGGAGCAGTCACCTCTCTTGAGCTCCTGGCAACACCTGGTCCAGTGGACCTGGGGATACTGTTGGACTTCTTTGACACAAGGGAATTTGCACTTTCCCTTGTTCAATTGGATGAGTTTCCCATCAGCCCATTTCTCCTGTTTGCTGAGGTCCTTCTGGATGCTGGCCTGACTCTCTGATGCATAAGCCTCTCTTCCCAGTTTGGTGTTGTGTGCAAACCTGCTGAGGGTCCACTCTGTCCCATCACCCACATAAAACAGGACCCATCAAGCCCTAACCATTTAGATGCACCACCAGTCACCGGTCTCCAACTTTATTTTGTGCTGCTGAACATTGATCCCTGTGCCTGTGTCAGTTTTCATTCTACCTCACTGTCTGCTTATCCAACATCAACAGCTTCTCTGTGACACTCCTACAGGAATCCACACAAAAGTGTCAAAGGCCTTGTTCACCTCTAGGTAGAGAAGAGCCACCATTCTTTCCTCTTCTCCTGAGCCTGTCACATCACCACAGAACTTTGTCAAGAAGATCAGGCATAACTTCCTCTTGGTGAAGCCATCCTGATCCCCTCCTGGTGACATGCCTTGATTAGGAGAGCTTTCCAGGACTAGCTGCTCCAGCACTTTCTAAGGGGCTAAGGTGAGGCTGAGAAGGCTGTAGCTCACTGGGTTCTCCTTTTTCCTTTTCTGAAGACAGAAGTGACATTTGCTTTGCTCCAGCATCCAGTCACCATGCTTGGCTGAAGGTAACCAAAAGTGACCTGGCAATGACAGGAGCCAGTTCCCTTGCCACTTGTGTGTACATTCCAACAGGGCCTACATAAGTGCAGTTTGCTAAGGATTCACTGGCCTGATCTCCTTCCATGAAGGGTACGTGCTCCCTGATCGTGACTTTACCCCCAATCTACGTTTGGTATTCCTTAAGGCCAGCCTTGCTAATAAGGACTGAGGCAAAGAAGGCACCTCAGCTTTTTCTCTATTCTGTGTCACCAGGGTCCTCATCTCATTCAGCAGCAGTGCTTACACTTCCCTTACTCTTCCTTTTGCCACCTTTGTCCTTATGGAAGCCCCTTTATTATGTCATTTGCCTTTCTTTCTGACAGCTGAATAAAACCTTCCACCTTTTCTTCCCCTTTCTGTATCCCTGGTGCATGACAGGAGAAGGCAAAGCGAGCCACCTGAATTGTCCTGGGCTCTGTGTTTGGTGGGATACAGTCAAACCCAGAAACAAGGCCACGGCCGCGTCCCCGCGCCGGGGCCGGCCGAGCCACAGCGCGCTCGAACGCCCGTTCTCCGACACCCTCAGCTGTCCTGCAATGGCCGGCACAGCCTTGGAGCCTCTGGCAGTGAAGGCGACGAATTCGGGTTCTCGCCCCGGGAGCTGACGGTAGAAATGGATGTATTCACCGAGCAGCTTTTTGGGGTGTGAGCAGGTGATGTTGATGCCGGTGCCCTCCGTGGTCTCCAGGAATGGCTCCTGCTGCACCTGGGCTCTGGCTGTCGCTACTGCCAGGGAAAGAAAATGGATAAACTTTAAATTCTGCACTGCCCCACTGCACATAATCAATCCCGCCGAAACTGTCAGTAATGTACAGAGATGGCGAGAAAAACAGTACCGAAGGGATTTCAGGAGAAGCAGGAATGGAAGTGTCCATTACACCTTTGTGGATAAATGAATGAGTGAATGACAGGAAGAACAGTGCAGCCAGTGGAGAATGGGATGATGTGAGAGAAAGCGCAAAAATACACGAAGAAAAGGTAGAAGGGGAAGGACTTAGTTAATAACTAATAAGGAATGAGAGGAATGGAATGCTTGTGCAGGGTTGGACATAGAATATAATCAGGAGATTTCTGAGGGAAGATGGGATGGAGAAGAGAAAGGGATAAACAAGAGAACAGCTCTCGGAAGTGGTCTGAGAAGAAGCCAGGCAGGACAGCAGCCTCCGGGGACCTGCGGGATCACCCCAGCCCAGACCGCGGCTCCTTCGGCACCTCTACGCACCGATGAGCAGCGCGGCCAGCGCCGCCAGCCCCGCGCCCCGACACCGCCGCATGCCGCCGCTCCGCCGGCCGAGCCACAGCGCGCTCGTACGCCGATCTGCCGACACCCACAGCTGTCCTGCAATTGCCGGCAGCGCTTTGGAGCCTCTAGCAGTGAAGGCGAGGAGTTCAAGTCCTCGGCCCGGCAGCTGACGGTACCAATATATATAATCGTTGGTCTGGATTTTGGGATGTGAGCAGGTGATGTTGATGCCGGCGTCCTCGGTGGTGTTTAGGAATGGCTCCTGTTGCACCTCCGCTCTGGCCACAGCCACTGACACAGAGAAAAAGACAATTACTTTTCTGTAACAGAAAATGCAGGAGAAATTTCATAAAAAGATGGCAGAGGCCGACAGATCAGTGTGAACTTGGATCTGTTTTGAGAATAGAGTATGGAGAGATTAATTTCCTGAGAGTGTTTGGTTGAGAATAGGAGCCTATGAGAGATGGTTAGAAGGTAAATCAGAAAAAATAACAAAAAGAGAGTGGCTGAGAGGGATGGATGGATGGATGGATGGATGGATGGATGGATGGATGGACGGACGGCCGGATGGACACAGACACAGAAGACAAAAGACAGCGTGGGATCCAATGACTTTAGAGAGGGAATAAAATATAAGGGCAGAGGAGGGGACAGAGGATAAACAAGAACCGAACAGGAGCAGCAAGGTAAGAGATGCATCTTGAGCTGCGGCTGATCTCATATAGTCCACGGACAGAGACGTTGCCGGCCGCCAGCAGAACGCACCGATGAGCAGCGCGGCCAGGGCAGAGGAGGGGACAGAGGATAAACAAGAACCGAACAGGAGCAGCAAGGTAAGAGATGCATCTTGAGCTGCGGCTGATCTCATATAGTCCACGGACAGAGACGTTGCCGGCCGCCAGCAGAACGCACCGATGAGCAGCGCGGCCAGCCCCGCGCCCCGCCCCCGCCGCATGCCGCCGCTCCGCCGGCCGAGCCTCGCTGTGCCCCTGAGCCCCGGCTCTGCTGCGGCCGTGCCGCCTCCTCTCCGCCGCCGATGCCAGCTCCGCCCCGGGACCCGCCTCAGCCCCCGCCTCTCCCGGCACCAGCGCAAGGAGCGGCACAAGGACCTTTGCCGTGGCCAGGGACAAGTGACAGCTGTGTCCCATCGCACACAGCAGCGACAGCGCATGGGAAGCAGATCCAGCCTGCACACAGCTGCAGCGGGCAGCTGCCGGCCCCACTCAGCTGCACTCGGGCTCTGGGTGAGCCTGGGAAGCTGCTGCTCTGTGCTGGGCAGGGCCAGGGCAGTGCTCGCTGTCCCTGGCATGCTCAGGAAATTCCCTCCCGATGAGGGACACACACGGACAGACACAGGGCCGTGCTCTCCAGTGTGCAGCCACAGACAAATCCGTGCTTCACGTGTGTCCATGCCAACGGGGCTGCTCCAAGGGCTCACAAGGCAGGAGCACACAGCCAGCCCTGGGCTCTGCTGAGGACATGTGGGGCCAAAGGCAGCAGGGCTGGAGTGTGGGAGGACAAGGTCCCAGATTTGCATAGGGGATATTTTTCTTTATTCCGAGACAGCACAATGTGGAAATGAGTCAAAACAATCCAAAACACATTCCCAAGGAAAGTGCTCAAATGAATGTGGCCAAAACCATCAGACCATTGTACACACATGTGGATGCAATTTCTGCTGAGCATCTGGGTGAGATCAGGGTCCCTCCCCAAGCTCAGCCTTGCACTGACACATCCCCTCCCTGCCCTGGGTTGTTGCACAGCTGAGGAAGCTGCCTGCACCAGGGTGTCCTGCACAGCACAGAGGTACAAGGCAGTGTCAGAGAGCTCCACTTGCTGCAGCTGCAGGACGCTGGATTTGGCCGTGGTGTTCAGGTGCGTGGTGAAACGGCCGCTGTGCCTGGGGCCAGTCCCTGACTGATAGGAGAGCAGCTGTGGGGCTTGGCCTTTCTGCAGCTGGTACCAGAGCAAGCTGTAGAAGTTACTGCTCTGGTATTTGCAGGTGGTGTGGAAGGGGTGTCCCTGCTTCACTGTGACTGCTCCATCTTCCTGGGTGACTGTGATCTGCCCCGTGGTGCCTGGAAGAAAGTCAGAGTCAGTAGCTCCACAGGGAAGGACTGTGGGAAGCAAATCAAAGTGCATGGAAAATCCTGG